ATCTTCCAAAGGCCATATCCAAGACTAGCACTTGTGGTGCCGTGTCCGTTACTAATGACGCCGTTCTTCTACTTCTGTTTTTAACATTATTCACATGCTCGTTGGTTCTTTTGTTCCGTTCTTTCCTCATATTCATCACAGCATGACGTTATCACCAACACTTTTTTATAGGTTGGACGACAATTTTAGCCTGCGATCTGCTTACTTTGATGATTATGCGTGCCTTCCGAATTCCTCACTGTACTCCTTGTGTAGTCAAGAGTACATCATTTTATTCTTTTTTCGCGAACCCTGTGGAGACATTACCACCTTGTAAAATAGCCGGAACAAGGGCTTTTCTGGTGCAGTTGGAGGTCGCGTAGTGTTTTACCATTTATATCCGTGGTACAATTTTGCCCTATGAATCTAGTTTGACTTGTTGAGTCGTCCACTGTTTGCCCTGATTTAAACTGTCTGACCATTACTTGCCTTTAAGTGCACTACTGGTCAGCGATCCTAGGGTTTACTCTTTTATGTGTGTGTATCTTTATCAGGTTCTTTACAACCAGAAGCTTACTGTTCCCGGTTCCTTCAAAGCGAAGAATGGAGGCTCTGCTGTGGCTTGCAGTTACAAGGCATCCGTTGGTCTCCTCTACCCTCTGGAAAGGGGCTTCATATTTGTTCCACGTCCGCCGGTGTCAATTCGGTTTGACGAAATCATTAGTGTGAACTTTTCTAGAGGCACCGGTGCTCTTCGGTCGTTTGATTTCGAGGCAAGTCTTCTATCACTTTCTATAAAAGATAACGTACTTCTCTCCTTGCTAATAGGTTTCAACCCAAAGGTAGCTTCCCAGAATGTGCTTTAACCATGCTGCGGATACCTGAATCGTGCTCGGCTTTGATGCTTGATGAATATATTTGGCAAACTTACATGTAACGGTCTGTCCTTGCGACTGAATAGCGAGCCCGTGAGAGAGAGACCGTGTAATACGTTGTCATATCAGAATCGTCGTGTAACTCCATCACATTTCCTTTTGCTTTTTAGATCGAGACGAGGATAGGAATATCCCACACATTTGTGTCAATTGAGCGTGACGAATATCACAAATTATATGACTATGTGACTGAGAAAAGACTGCGTGTGAAGAACATTGACGACAAGGGCGCAAATGCAAACGAGAACTTAGAGGACGTATGGTCCTCCTCTGACGAGCCGCACGATGCCTATCTAGACAAGGTGAAGGCGGAGGGTCGTGTGCGGGCAGAAGCTGCATCCGATGGGACCTTTGCTGGCGCTGATTTTGACGACGACGATGAGGAAGACGAAGACTTTAACCCTCCTACCGACTCGGACGCGTCAGAAGTCGCAGAGGAGTATGATAGTAATGCTGTGTCCTCGTCTGATGACGATGACAATAGTCGTCAATCCGACTCAGACCAGCCAGTGGAGAAAAAGCCGCGCAAGCCCGGATCGCACGTAAGATCCTCTTCCTCCCCAACTAAGAGGAAAACCAAGAAGGCCCCTAAAGACCCCAACGCTCCTACCCGACCGCAGTCGGCATACATCCTCTGGTTTAATGAAAATCGCGCAGACATTAAACAGAGCCTAGGTGGTTCTGCCAGCGTCACAGATGTGGCCAAGGCTGCCGGAGAGCGCTGGAAAACGCTGGATCCCAGTGTAAAAGCCAAGTTCCAGGCACGGGCTGACGAGTTGAAGGCCAAGTACGAAGTCGAGAAAAAGGCGTATGAAGCCAAGATCGCGTCCGGAGAGATCGAAGCGCCGGCGAAACGGTCGACGAAACCGACCACAAAGCCGTCTGTAAAGTCGTCAGCTGGCACCAGTTCCGCGGCCAGTGGGACTACTGCCTTCAAAAGTGCAGAGTACGTTTCTGAGTCGTCTTCTTCGTCCAGTGCCGTCGGCAGCGAAGAGAGTGCTGACAGTGGAAGCGAGGGTTCTGGTGGCTCGAGTGACTGATGCAGCCTTTTTTCTCTCTTCCTCGGCCTATTTTGTATACTCCCCATACTTGTAATCACGGAGACCTTCACCAAGGCCAATGGAATCTTATGAACACTTTCCATAACCCCTATATTGTAAAGTTGAGATTTTCTATAAATTATAAGCGTACAATCTATCTTATTTCCACCTTAGTTTTCGTCAATCTTTATTGGCGCTCTCTCGCTATTCATTGTTGTATTTTCAAAACTTCCATGGAATGATTAGGGGTCGTTTAGTTTGCAACAGCAAACAACTTAATTTTGCCAAAAAAGATTACTTTTATCGGTTCTGATTGGATTCATTAAAATTACAAGAAGTTGCTGTAACGTCGTAGAGCCCATGGTGCTCCACTCGGGGGACGAACTCCGCGCAACAGTTGACAGAAATCGAGTCACTCACCCACGTTTTATCTGGCCCCTATATGGCAGAGGCGCAAATATTGTTAGCTGCCCTGTACCGCCCTAATACAACTTACCCGCTTATCAAAGTGCTAATTAGGCGCACATCTTCGTACTTTTTTTCAACACTGTTCTAATACTAGCATTTTATATCCCTCTCCATGAACGCTAGGGTTCCGCAGCTATTTTAAAGACTGATGGCGTAGAATTATACTGATGGAACAGTAATCCGAAACTTGCCCAATGAATGCCCAAACATCGCCACATGGCATAAGGGTGGACCTTGAACGCACAATATATGATAGACGATGGTCACGTGTGCTTCTTTGTTCCGAATCCAGAGAGACTGATAACAGGCCGATCTAGCCGGAGGGACCACGCACGATATTGAACAACCTACGCAACGATAAGCAGAGGTCACTTTTACAGACAAAACGATGTAATTGGGCATTGTGATTGTTTTTGGTCTTGGACACATAGAGGGCTGTCATGATCGAGGAATTCGCATTTCGGTTGTCCATGGTGTCTTTCCACGTTGATGGATTTGAAGTCCACTTGGCGGATACTGCTACGCTGCCCTTCCCCTCTCTACCCAAATCCTATCCGTCTCGTCACGAAGCTGTTGTCCGCACAGTGGCCACATCGATAACCGTCCTTGGCCGACAGGCTTGTCCAGGTGGAAGTATGTCTGTGCTGTCACATCCGCTAAGCTTATCTGTAGTCTCATTCTCTCATCTTATAAATTCATACTGGATGCTCGTATTTAACTCAAGGCGAGTCCAGAGTTCACGGTCAGACACTAGTCATCGAGCCTCTAGTCAGACACTCATTGAACTCTGAGTTATCCAGACCTTGTGATTGGGTGGGACCAGCTGACGATGGTTTGCAGACCAGAATCACCCACCTAATTCTTTCTTATCCTTGTCGGCTTGTACTCCGACTTATTTTCGCGCTAAACGCCAGCTGACAATGTATCTGCGATGTTGGGGATATCCATGACACAGCATATAAGTGTAAGGCCGTTTTTCTCCTAACAGCTTGTCATTTGTTCGCCCATCCATAGCTTTCATTCTCTATCTGTGGTTTCAAACGCGACCTTTAGGCTCACTCGCTTTGCTACGAGCTCGCCTATGGGCGCCTTGACGTTTTGCCCCCATTCGTTGGCATTCGCACAGGCAAGTAAATTCTAACGCCGATATGAACATACGGACTCACTTAAACCTTAGACGCACCTTCAGCGATAGCGTGGTCTAAAATTGCTTTCCCACGCCACCTGCTCTAACTGCTCTTCATTATATACAGGCTACAGTCCTCTTCCCGGCGTCTACTAGTCGCGACTGGACCTAAATGTCATATAAATTAATATGTGCTCATGATTTCACAGTGAAAAGGAGCGGGGCAATAGGTTGTTCTTCCCGGACGTTCTTATTTTCAGACAGGAAGGCGGTTCAACCAGGCGTTCAGTTTTCCACAAGAATTCGTGAAAGGGTCCATAATAACATTACACGAGCTTTGTGCCATTACTACGGAAATGCAACCTTGTCCACATTTTCCTCCCAAGTGCGAAAAAGTGTTCTATTGAGACTGGACACCGAATTTGTCTACCCGAAAGCAAGCCTGTTTAAATGCGGCTATCCAGCACGTTCCATTCAAAAGCACAGCAATCCCTGGCGGCCAAAACTGATGGAACAGTCGGTGCTGAAAAAACCCCGTTGTAATCTTCTCACACTTCAAGGGCAACAATAATTCAAACATGATTCAAAAGGCAATTTGGCGAGCATATGCCTGCTTTCGATAAATTATCTTCAGGCCTGTACATTTATATGGCTATTGAGGTAATGAATTAAAAGATACGGGCAAGTAGATAATTAAGCTGTAGCTCGGGTTTGGGGAGGGGAGGGGAGCGGGAGAGTGAAACACCACAATTCCAGTCAGCGCCAGGGAGAAGGTGGGTCCCGGCGAACGTAATTACATGCGGGTAGCTGGCTTGGTAGCTTTGAGCCATGGCAACTGTGGGACCTGTATGAAGTTCTTCTGTGCGCATAGGACCGGTCCGCGTAGCCTGATTGCAGCCGCTTCTGCCGTAGCCAACAAGCGCTGTCCAAGTAGTTTTGGATAGCTTGATGGGACCTTGTAAATCGCTCGGAAGGTCTCTCTGGCGTCTACACGGTGCTCTGTGTCTACCATGTGCGCGAGGATCGAGCTGTTGCTGTTCCTTATTTGTCCCTTTCCTAATCATGCTGGAAGATGTTCTTTTATTCTTTTGGATAAACACCGGCTTGTGCGACCAATATATTCTGCCCCACAGGAGCAGGTGAAGGAGTAAATACACATAGAGGTGGTCCGAGCTGGAAGTTTGTCCTTGCCCTCTTCGTATAGGATGGGACTGGTGGTGAACAGTACAAGGGTGTCAGCGGCTGGAAAACTCTGTGATACAGCTTGCGTTAGGCGTCTTCTTAAAAGTTCACTTGGTGCGTCCCCTTAAAATGGGACCCTGATGAAGAGCCTTTTCTTTCCTGCCGTTAGTATCGGAGGCTTTTGCGGTCTTTCGGCCATGTTCTTAGCAATGAGTCCATCAGGATACCCGTTCTGGCGAACATGCTTTGGCAGCGGCTGTGATTTGCCACTAAAAGAGCTCGCTATGCAGTCAAAATCATATTCTGCAGTTCTACTCAAGCGATTAGAATTCGAAATATGCCTTACTACTGAACACCTTGTTTAGTTGCGCTTATGAATTTACATGCACTTATGAATGCAATTACATTGAACAGGTGCAGATGTAAGTAGCAATAAAATAAAATTCCTCGTTCTCGTTGATAACGATCACTCTTAATCCCAACATAGCCTTCTGAGTGCTTGTTCGGGCACTGTAAACTCGGACGTTTTGCTACTTAGATTAGCCTACGTATAGAGGGAGAAACCTAAGTTGCTCAAGCAGCTAGGCCGTGTGATCAACCTTAATTTGCCCTGGAAGCCACCAATCCTTTGATTTACACCCTTCTGCGTGTTAGCGCTCCCTTCTTCTTCCTCCTCTATAGCTTTCCTAAACTACCCCTTCCCACCGGTGAGAATATGTGTACTGAACAATGACCTTGTCATTTCCACATCGATTTTCTGTGCAAATTAAACATGTTGCGAACTTCTTATTCATTGTCAATGTTATGCAGCGTCAGATAACAGTTGCTAAGCTGCTGCAACATTTATTGGCACCAGGAATTTCCGCCGCTTTCGCCTGTTTTGAAGTCATATTGGGAATCAAATGCTTTGAGTAGTTACTTCCCTATCAACCGATTCATTAGAAAACAAATAGGGAACATTGCAATTTCACAACCCAGGTCTCCTGTGAAAAGATGAGATGGCCTGTGCCGAAGGCACCGTCGACAGCGCTCAAGGCGGAAGTCGCCCGGTCGGTATTAGAATCCACCGTGAGTGTGCCATGGAGTCCTAACTCCTCACAACTATGCCTGTCTGGACTACGATAGACCTCCACGGACAATACTGGTTGTAGTTACCATGGAACCCAAAATTTATATGCTCGGGGAGGGCGAATAGTATGTGGTTTATTCAGAAGCCACCATAGTGGATGAGACGTTCACCAGAGCGATGTTTCGTCTTATAGTGAAAGCAGAATTACCGTCGAAATGAGCCTGTTGAGAATTCGAAACAATGCTCCAAGATTCTTGCAGTTAAACCATTGGTATAGATCGCTGTCACTTGTACTTTGCCCTCAAGTAACCTTCCACCTCAGAAACGGTAGTATTTGGAGGAACTTCTCACAAAGCTTCTAGAGTGCATGTATGCATTCACATTCTGCTAGTTAGAAAGCCCGTCATATCAACACAACTTTTTTTATCTTAATGCATACCATAGCTTCTAATTAACCTCTGCGTCTGCGCGCATTTGTATCAGTACTTTTGAATGTTGATCGCTCTCATTAACTGTACGCTTAGTGTCTGTACTATGAAACAATGGTAAATGCTAGATGGAGTGACGTTCCATCCGCCTACTTTTACCCAACAATCCATCGGTTTTCCCACCACAGCCTGCTGATACCAGCAGGATACTTTAATTCCCGGAAAACTTGTCAAACAAAGTTTTGTACTGTAGATTTAAAGACATCATTTGCATTCCGTAAGTCGTGCTTCGAAACTAGCAACTCCTCTTCTCAACTCAATCCTTGTAGCGGCTCCGCGTTCTTCCGTTCTCACGCCCCGCCTGTATTTTAAAACTAACTTTAATCGACTTCCCTAATCACTGACATGTTTGACTTGTACCCCGTTCCCATATGAATGCATGGACTAGAAAAGAAGTTATCGAAAGCAAACGTGTGCTCGCCTACTAGCCCAAAGAATTGCATATTTTTACACCATGCTAGATTGTGGACACCGTACCTCTCGGATTCATCGGCTTTCGCCACTTAGGCTACAGGAAAGACGAAATCCCGACTCCCCCACGGACTGTGTACTGCTTTTACTGTTATGTAGTGGCCGTCTGCAAAAGTTAGGAGCAGGGTGTCTGCTTCGAAACAGACACTTCATGTGGCAGTGACGTTCACCCGTCTGTTCCATTTACTGGTAGGAA